AGTTATGTAAAAAAAATAAAAAAAACAAGGGGTATTTTATTTTTTTTCTCATAATACAGTGATGATTAGGCCCCAATAATGTCTGTGTCATATTGATAAAATCAACAAAATATATTGTAAATCATGCATGCATAAATTGTGTTACTATTGCCAGTCATAAAAAAATGCTACCTATAATTATAATATACAAGTAATAAAAAAAAATATACATGAGAAGCAATTATCCGCAACGGAGCATATACATGTGCGCGAATGTAAAAGCATGTATTCATAGGTATATTTTGTGTAGTTTTAGCTTATTAACTATACATAATAATATTTATCTTACTTCTTTCGTTCGCACGATAATGATAAGACGTATTTTTCGTGTCATATTTCAATGACATCTATGAACTGTATATGTATATGTATATGTATTGAGCCACGTGACGATTTATTTTATGTATTAAAACATAAAAAATTAGAACACACAAAGATGAACTAAATTTAACCTGATTTCAATTGAGATCGAAAACTATTAGAGTTTGTGCACTTAAATGTTAAATAAAATCTTTTAAACTTTCAAAAGTACTAAATAATGAATTATTGTTTTCTTATTTGATAAAATAAAATTTGTTTAAATAGAATATAGTAAACGTTAGCTCGTTTCGACGAGTGTGTATGTTTATTTTAAATATAGAAAATCATACCATTTTCACACACGCACGCACATGTATAGGTGTTAACATCACAAAGAAGAGAAACGTTAACAAGAGATAATAGAAAGAGAAAGAACGATATGTATAAAAGATAATGGTGATTCACCGATAACAGTAAGATAAAAAAAAGTTTAATTCATTATAAAATAACACTACGATATATAAAATATTTTTTGTTATTATTTTAAAAATAATGATTTATAGTTCTATTTAGAAAATTCTTAACTTTAAAAGGAATATTTCTATTGAACAATATGCATAATAATGTTTATTAGAATTATTTATTTATACTTAATAATTAATGCATATTCTTTAAATATTGAATAGAATCAATGAAATCAAATTAAATAATATAATTGACATTCTAAAAACTTTGGTGAAAAAAATTAAGTAAATAATTTTCTTGTTGATTATGAATATATTATAAATTTACTCTATTTCGAATAAAAGAGAGTAATAATTAAATAACATTCTTAATTCTATCTTTAATCGATTAATATACTTTTGTATATATTCTACTACTTTTGTCTTATGTTAATTTATTTCATTTTTTTAAATTAACGTATTTTCAAAGTCAGAATATATATTAATACGATTAAATCTGAGTAATTGATTACTTGATAGAAAATAATCTTATCATTTGCAGTATGAGCCATACCACCGACTCATAACTCATTCGTTTGTTGACTAATTTCAATGGGCCATGCAGTCCAACTTGTTATTGCAATATGCGTATCTTTATCAACAAATACTCTGATTGATTAAAAAATTTAGAACATTAATTAAACTAAGTTCTTGCATTTGATTTCGAGTTAAATTTGGATATTTAGATTTTGCATCTAGATTTAATACAACTTGTGAATGATCTGTCGGAAGAATTTCTGCAACACAATTATCAATTTCTACACATTGATCAACTAAATTAATTCCAAATGAAATATTCAATGAATTTAAAATTTGTTTATTCATATGAAGGACTTCTAATGAATACGATGTAATATATGTTAAATCCATATCCATAGAAACAACTTCAGGACAACTATTGACAGAACAGAGTAATTCTACTAAATCTTTCAAATGTTGTGTATCTTGATGATAAGGATTAGTAATATAACGATAAGCATAATCGAATTGTTTCGAATCATTAAATTTATCATATAATAGGTATATATTTTATATATTCATGCATTAGATTTGAAATGCGATTTGTAGCTGCTTGAGGACAATTGTCAACACGTGCTAATGTTTTTCTATCTATCCAAGAAAGATTTGGATATAACCATTGCGGTGGATTACTTGATATATTCATTAATTTATTATAGTCAAGATAAGGAATTAAATTTGGCATTCTTTCATCAAAATTTAAGAAATCAGGAGTATATGAAAATCCATCTTGAGTAACAAACCATCCTTTTCCATTTGGATCTTGTCGATCTGTTGAATTACAAATATGAAAAATTTTACAAAATAAATTATCTTTTGGTGATTCACCATAGAGTTCTAATAATCCTAATATAGTACCATCATAACATTGAGTAAAAGCAGATAATTCTACAATAACAGAAATATTATTTTTACGAAAATTCATCAATGCTTCATTTTTCATATATCCAATTTCCGAAGCTTGTATTGATATTGACCCATTATTATTTTGTAAATGTAATAAAAGATTTGACCATAAACTAAAATTTGAATAACTATTTTCATAATGACCATTGATTAATTGACCTTTTGGTTTATACCAAATATTTGATGCTAATTGATTTGGACCAAAATCAAATTTACCTTTACTTGTAATAGATTGTATTCTAACAATTATACTTTGGAAATATATAAGAACAAATAAAATAGAAATAATAGTATTCGACTTGGAAAAGATGATCATAATTTTTTTTTGGTTGAATTTTTGAGAAGTAGAAAGTGACAAAAATAAAAGTCTTTTTATAATTTCTTATCTTCGTTTTTCTTGTCAAACAACTGTAAGATAATGAATATTTACCTGTCTTACCTAAATTTTATGATATTAACAATTAATAATAAATATTACAATATTAAACTATGTTGATTACAATTAAAAATATCACCTAAATGTAACTGTTGATATCTATTAAATAGGAGTTATATTGGAAAAAGTATCAAGTATACTAGAGTAACTGTCAGATTGGTTAAATATATCGGCATATGTTCTGTGTGACTGAAAATTGAATACAGATAAAGATATAACCATAAAAAAATTGATAAACGATTCATAAAATTTTAATCTTCGATCAATACATATCGAAGCTTTCCAAATCGTTAATGACGAAAAAGAACAATAACTACTGACATTAGTATTTGTAAATTTCTATCAGTATTGACCGATTGAAACGTAGAAATTGATTTTACAATTAAGTATACAATATCATTATTATCTAGACTACATAGACCACCATTTCAGTAGCGTATAAATCTTTAATTCATTACGAGTTTAGAACTCCTAAAATTTATAAGTCGAGTATTCGACTACTCAATTTCTAGATCGCTCAGAGCGAACCTGTGCCTATAGTCCAAACCTTCAGATTCTAGATACTTTTCCGCGACCTCTTCTGTTAATCAGATAGTACTGAATAAATCAACACCGTGTTTTATATTCTTACTTCCAATGAATGAAATAATGATGTAGATCTGAAGGGTTTGCTTTAGATTGATATAGAAGAGGAAATGATATGTCTAAACTGGAGAACGTATTCAAGTTGCCTAAAGTATTAGCAATTTCGGGAAAACTTCGTCTTTTGCGTCTATTCAACAGTATTAAATGAAATTTAAAGCAATTATTAAAACAATACAAATGAATGTCAAGAACGTATTAAGATAACAATCTGGTGATTAGCAGCATCTGAAAAAATAATGTCCGGTTTGCTGTCAGCATTGACATCACCAACTGTTACTGACCATGGTTTTGTGAGAACTCCTGTTGCATATGTTCTTTGAGGCTGAAATATACCATTGCCAAAGTTGAGAAAAATACCAATGTTCTCTTTATTAGAGTTGGCAACGATGATGTCAGGTAAGTTGTCGCAATTTATATCAGCCACAAGCACCGATCGTGGTTCTGAGTCGTTTCCAGTTGAATATATTGTTTGATTAAGAAATTTACCATTGCCAATATTGAGAAAAACTCCCACATTGCTTGTTTTAAAATTACCCACAATAAGATCACGTTTATTATCACCGTTGACATCAGCTACAAATACAGAGTTTGGCTGTGAACTGATTCCAGTTGAAAATGTTGTCCAAGAAATGAATGTTCCATTGCCGGAATTAAAGAAAATACCAACACTAGCTCCAGCAGAGTTTGCGACAATAATATCAGGATGAGTATCGCCATTGACATCCACTACCTGTGGACACATCACACCGAAACCATCCGGAATCTGGTAAGGTTGTTGAGACGAGAATTCAACATGACCAAGGTTTAGAAAAATACCGATAGTGGACATATTTTGGTTTGTCACGATAATATCAGGTTTTTTATCGTTATTAACATCAGCCACTGCAACTCCTGATGGATATATTTTGGATTCCTTGGGACGCAGAGTTATGAGGTGAAACTGACCAGACCCCTTATTGAGCAAAACTTGAACATTATTTTTCCCATTGCCTGCAGTAATAATATCTGGTTTGTCGTCATCATTGACGTCAACAACTGATATATATTGTGTACTTGATTCAGAACCAGATCCAGTGGAGTGAGTTACCTGTTCAGAAAAATAACTATTTTGAACGTTGAAGATAACGCCAATGTTGGCTGCCTCTTGATTAGCTACAATTATATCCACTCTGTTGTCTTTGTTGATATCAGTGAGCGATACAAAGACTGGTCGTGAGTTAGAGCCAGTTGAGTACATCTCTTGTGTTTTAAATCTCACCTGGCATTGCTCTATTGCAAACAAATATTATTTTTATTACTTATGTATAGTACAGTGTAAATATCATCTCAAATAGTGTTATAATCAACTAAGTATGAGTTTATTATATCCACTCACCCATCGAAATCGAAGAAATTTGATTCATACATAAAATCATATACGAAATATCTGTTAAACGGAGTGAGAATGACATTAAGAAGAGTTTAGAATATATATGTGTGAGTAGGTCCTATCTGAAACATTCGGTTAACCACACCCATTCTGAGGATCTTACTATTAATACCTTTATATAGGAGATCGAATGCAAATTTTCTCATCGTTCGATGTACTAATAGAAAATCGACAATATTTTCCAATTCAATGTTTTCCTTTTTGGCATTATTCACTAAGCCTAGTTACGATCAATGGATTTTTTTGACAACTATTGTAAGATTTATATCATCACTTAATCCAAAGCATGAAGCACTTAGATAATACTGACCTCTTTGTGGTGGTGTCGTGGTTGTTAATCTAACCATTTTTGTAATTGTTGTAGTTTTCCCATCTAAAGACATTCAGAAAGTTATTACAATAGAAAAATATACAAGCAAAGTAAAAAAACGTTAATAGGGTTCATGAAAATGCAACGTATAATAAACTCGGTCACATCGTATTACAACCTCTCCAAATCTCTATCAAGGCTGCTTATGCATACCATGGTTCTTTTCATTTCGGTGCGAATTTCAATAACAAAAAACACCTTCAATTCGAGCAGAATACGGGTCTTTGAATATATATCATATATGTACTAATATATGGTATCGAGTTTTTCGGGCTACGGATCACGAGAGTCTTGCGGGCTCTTAAATAGATGTCATATATATATTCTAGCGGAGGTACCCGATGTTGGTTCAGAACCTTACAGACCGAAAATTTCATATGTCAGAAGACGACAGGAAATGTAGAGAGAGTTCTGCTTGTAATTATTCATCCATCACCACGGCATATCCCGCCGTACATATTTGAAATAGAATAACTGAGGCTATGGAGCACTCCAAATCCACCTGTTTTTTGAAGTTGTTGTTGCAAAATCCATCCTTTTTCCTACAGTTATCGCTCCAACTCTATCTCCACTTCATTTCTGACCTAAAAAGCTTAGATTTCGTGTTAGTTTCATGTATCGCCAATACATACACGTCTAAGATAAAGCACGATAGTTCAACGAATATTGAGTGAGGATGATTATTTCACTTCTCAATCGCTCTGACTTCTGTGTAACACAACCAGATCAGTGCGAAAACGTAGTAATAGATGGATACTTTTAAAATCAATCAAATAAATTGAACGAAATTCGGTTAAATTTCAACTAATTTCCGTCTCCCATCTTCTGTCGACTTTTCCTGTAGATAAGGAAATGCCACGGACAGTTTGGTGACATTAGCTATCACAAAACCACCTGGGTGAAATTTAACCCAGGTACTTCCTCCTCAGCCCCCATCAGTGTCGCCAACTATCTCTCGACCTTCTCCTCGATCTAGGAGAGTGCCATGGAAAGTTTGATGACATTAGCTATCACAGGACTATTTGAGTGAAATATCACCCAACCCGCAACCCCTGAGCGCGCCAACCTCCCAGCCTTTCTGTGGATCTAGAGAAGTACTATGGAAAGTTTGGTGACGCTAACTAATCCGGGCACCCCTGGGTGATATTTCACCTAGCCCGTCCCTTATCCTCTTGACTGTGCCAATCTCTTGTCGACGTTCCTCTGGGCCTAGAGGACTCTTGTTGCAAATTTGGTGACGATAGCTATTACAGGGACTGAATGGATAGCGAACAAACAAATATTCTTCTTTATATATATATATGAATAGACAGATATATCTAAAGACCCGTAAGACCCATAGCCAACCAAATATAGGCAGCGTATATTAGTAAATATATGATACATTTAAAGATCCAAAGACCCATAGTCGAAAAGAAATGATGGATATTTGCTATACTTATGATAATGTGGACGCTGAGACATTTCATAATAAAAATGGTATTTAAGTTGCGATCAGAATGAAGGATATTATGTGGATAGAGATGGTGGGTGTGGAAGAATTGAGGATTATTAAGTCGCATTTATTGACGAAGCTACCAGGCCTCGAAATCGGGCCACTTTTTCGTGGCCCGGTCCGCCCGATTTACTGGGCCGAGCTGATAAGGCCCGCCCGGCCCAGAA